GAGCAGGAGACCAGGGACGGGGGGCAGGAGTACGTGGTCAAGGAGGTCCTGCGCATCGAGCCCGACAGAGCCCAGGCCGATGAAGTCCTGAGGCTGAGGGAGGAGCTGGAGGAGCTGAGGCGGCAGAAGGGCACCCGGGAAGCAGAGGCGGTCCTCCTGCAGCAGCGCATCGCGGCCCTGGCCGAGAAGAACCGGGCTCAGGAGAAGGTCATGGAGAAGGAGGTGGTGAAACTACAGAACGACCCCCAGCTGGAGGCCGAGTACTGGCAGCTGCAGAAGGACCAGCAGCAGGAGGGCAAGCTCAGGGAGAAGCAGGAAGAGGAGCTGAGCTTCCTCCAGGAGAAGCTGAAGAGGCTGGAGAAGGAGCGGGCCATGGCCGAGGGGAAAATCACCGTCAAGGAGGTGCTCAAGGTAGAAAAGGATGTGGCAACAGAGAGGGAGGTCGGCGACCTCAAACGCCAGTACGAGGACGAGGCCGCCAAGGCTCGTGCCAACCAGAGGGAGAAGACGGAGCTGCTGCGAAAGATTTGGGCCTTGGAAGAGGAAAACGCCAAAGTGGTGGTCCAGGAGAAAGTGCGAGAGATCGTCCGGCCCGACCCCAAGGCAGAGAGGGAAGTGGCCAGCCTCCGCCTAGAGCTCATCGAGCAGGAGCGCAAGTACCGGGGGGCCGAGGAGCAGCTGAAGAGCTACCAGGCTGAGCTGGAGGCGCTCAGGAGGCGGGGCCCCCAGGTGGAAGTCAAGGAAGTGACTAAGGAGGTCATCAAGTACAAGACTGACCCCGAAATGGAGAAGGAGCTTCAGAGGCTCAGGGAGGAGATCGTCGACAAGACCAGGCTCATCGAAAGGTGCGATCTAGAGATCTACCAGCTGAAGCAAGAGATTCAGTCCCTGAAAGACACCAAACCCCAGGTACAGACCAAGGAGGTGGTCCAGGAGATCCTCCAGTTCCGGGAAGACCCCCAAACCAAAGAGGAAGTGGCATCTTTGAGGGCCAGACTATCAGAGGAACAGAAGAAGCAAGTGGATCTGGAAAGGGAGAGGGTTTCCCAGGAGGAGAAAATCAAACAGAAGGAAGAGGAGCTTTCCCAAGTGAAGGAAAAGGTGGTCCCACAGGAGGTTATCAGGTATGAGGAGGAGCCCGGCCTGCGGGCCGAGGTGAACGCCTTCACCAAGAGCATCGATGTCGAGCTCCGGCAGATCGACAACCTCCGTGGGGAGCTGCGGCGGCTGCAGCGCCGGCGAGCCGAGCTGGAGTGCCAGCTGGAGGAGCTGGAGCGGGAGCGGCAGGCGCGCAGGGAGGCTGAGCTGGAGGTGCAGTGGCTGAAGCAACGGCTGGCTGACCTGGAGAAGGAGGAGGGGGAGGCACGCGAGAAGGTGACCCTCAAGCAGAAAGTGGTGCTGCAGCAGGACCCCCAGCAGGCCAGGGAGCACTCCCTGCTCAGACTCCAGCTGGAGGAAGAAAGGCACCGGCGGCAGGTCCTGGAGAGTGAGCTGGAGACCCTGAGAAAGAAGCTCGCCAACCTGGAGAAGATGGAGGTCAAGGAGAAGGTGGTCTTCTCTGAAAGCATCCAGGTGGAGAAAGGCAACACCGAGCAAGAGATTCAGAAGCTCAAGAGCAGCCTGGAGGAGGAGAGCCGGAGCAAGAGGGAACTGGATGCAGAGGTGAGCCGGCTGGAAGCCAAGCTGTCGGAGCTAGAGTTCTGTAACTCCAAGTCGTCCAAAGAACTGGACTTCCTAAGGGAAGAAAACCACAGACTCCAGCTGGAGCGGCAAAACCTGCAGCTCGAGACCCGAAGGCTCCAGTCAGAAATTGAAATGGCGGCAACAGAAACACGAGACTTGAGGAACATGACCACGGTGGGCTCCGGGACGAACCTCGACTCCAGACTGTGGTCCCTGGAGAGAGAACTGGACGACCTCAAGAGGCTCTCCAAAGACAAAGATGTCGAGATTGATGAGCTGCAGAAGCGCCTGGGCTCCGTGGCCGTCAAGAGGGAGCAGAGGGAGAACCACCTGCGGCGCTCCATCGTGGTCATCGACCCCGACACGGGCCGGGAGCTGTCCCCAGAGGAAGCCCACCGAGCTGGTCTCATCGACTGGAACATGTTTGTGAAACTCAGGAGCCAGGAGTGCGACTGGGAGGAAATATCGGTGAAGGGTCCCAATGGGGAATCCTCTGTGATCCACGACAGGAAGTCGGGCAAGAAGTTCTCCATTGAAGAGGCCCTGCAGAATGGAAGGCTGACGCCTGCTCAGTACAACCGTTACATCAACAAGGATATGTCCATCCAGGAGCTGGCTGTCTTGGTGTCTGGGCAGAAGTAGGCACAGCCCTGCCCTCCATCTTCTTGGAAGCAGACGGCTGGCTCTTTTCTACCTAATAACCTCCTGGTGTCCTCTGCTCCCTGGCCCCGTGCAGACCCCCTAATCTGTGCAGAGCCGAGCATGTTACCCGAGCCCTGGCCATCAGGCTGCTCACAGTGCAGCTCACTTACAAGTGGGACAGGCACTGGCTGAACCGTCATTCAACCTGGGTGAGGGACCCACTTCGTCCCCCAGTGATTCAGAACCACCCTGCCCTTCCTTTTTCTCCCTTTTCCTATACACACCCATCAGTAGACTCCTTGTGTGATACCTGGAAGCAGTCTAACTACTAAAGCACAAGACGACCAAGGCAGACAAGCCCGCTCCATGGAGCACTGGCCTTTGCACACCAGACGGGGAAACTCTCGGGCAGAAAGGCTTCCCTTCCACACACCTTTCCATTCATCAGAGGACTGGGCCCCTTGGGGCTGCCAACCTGCATTCACACCCGTCTTGGATTCTGGCTGAGAGCCGACTTTCCGTCAGAGGCCTCCTAGTGAGACAGATCTGGGCTGTATGCCAGAAAAGGTGCCAAGAAGCCAGAACAGTGTCTGGCCCTCGGTGCTAGAGGGAAGGTTAACTGTCAGCCAGATTGTCCCAGGACAGCACGCCATCAGAGAACGTTTTATGGCTCTGCAAGTACAGTATTGCACAGTGGGCTGTGCTGCTATTAGCCTTAGTCTCATGCCTTACATGTCCTGCTTATTATCTCACTGGTATTTAGGTATATACTACAGCTGATTGTTCACCAAACAAATTCTGGGTTCTCTGTATCTCATGTATTAGATAAGAAAATGGGAAGTAATGGGGAACTCTATTCATAGTGCAGAAATAAACGCCCCGTGGCTTGATTCTAACTTTGTGGTGTGGTTCTTCATCTTTGCCATGTGAGGCTTATTTCACCCCCCGATCTCTCTTGGCCAAAATGGATATTCCATATAAGACCAGCTCCTACAGGAGAAAGAACTGTTTGCAAATATGGTAAAAAGAAAAGACTGAGAAACAATGTTTTGGAAACCTTGAAACAATTTATTGAGTTACTTTATACAAGATTAACAATTTCCACACCACCCCCTAACACCAACTTAGTCGCTGCACAAAAGCCACAGCCCCTTTCACACCTAAGAAACGGCCGCACCAGGGAAAGCCCTGCAGCGCTGCAGCCCCCAGCCCCTAGAGCCTGCTCTGCCTGTAGATCTGCCTGGCCATGGCTGTTGAAGTCATTCACTCTTTCGTTACCACAAATAAAGCATAAACAAGAAAAAGAAATCTCATAAACTCCCCATCAAAGAAACGTTTCCCTGAGGCAAGAGGCATCACTAGATTCCTAAAAATGAGGGTATTCTGCTCCAGCTGCACACTCAGTGGTCTATGGGGAGGAGGGAGCACTGCGGGGAAGGGAACCGGGTGTTCTCGGGCAGAGAAGCCTGGTGAGCTCCTCCCCACCGCTCAGCATTCACGAACGGCCTCTGTGCGACTCTGAGCTCAGCAATACAAATCTCTTCTTTGGCTCTTTTGCTACTACCTAAGACTATTCTGTAAACAAACTGGAAACCCAAGTTGCAAAAAATAGATATAATAAAGGGATAAGGAATCTGCCTAGCCCAATGTGAAACACGTGTTGGTGCTTATGTAAAAAAGAAGTCAGAGCAGAGGCCTGGCTGGATAGCTGACAGAGGTCTCGCTCCCCTGGAAACCAGGCAAACCCCTGCATGAATTGTGAGTTACTGAGCATTGCACCCTGGGAGGAAGGGACCAAAAGAGCTGCCTGTGTCTCCACACAGGTGTACATTCTGAGGAGGCTCTTTATTCTCAACATATTTGAAATCACTTAGCTGGAGCAGTCAGTTCAGATACACCTTGTGGCACAGACTTAACAGGACAAGCAACTGCCCTAACAATCCTTGTGAAGCAGCCACTGGTTGAGTGGGAACAGCACAGTGACTTGGGAGCTCCGGGGTAACTGTCCTAGTCTGTCTGACACACCCACCAAGCTCACTGGCATGTCACCCTTAAGTCAATACATAGCCCCGCTGCCTGGAGAGCCCCAGGACTTCAAGGCCTGTTTCTATATGTGACAGATGGTTGCTTCACAGAGGCCTGTCCCTGCAGCTCTGCCTGAGAATGATTTCTAAATAAAACAAACTGGAATGTCTATCTGTGACTTGGAACCCCCAATATCCTTGGCCCTGAAAGAGATGAAGAAGGGCCTTGGGGCTCTGCAGTCTACCTGTATGAACTCTGGAAAAACAAAACAGAGGCCCTGGCGAATTGGGACTTGAGATTTGGGGGCCCAGATGACCTTCAAGTCAGGATGGCACAGATTTTATGATGTGCAACCATAGAAAACTCAAAAGTGGCTATATCTTAAATATAGACAAATCTTTAAAAAAGGTCTTCATCTGAGATCCACTCAGAGGGCTGAATGGATGTGTGTCTAATTCTGCTCCACCATAAAGGCACTGGAATTATGTCTTCCTATAATATGACGTGTGAAGAACAGTCCCATTCTATCCAATGCATTTAATGGTGATGAAAAGTGAGCCAAAAATAAGTTTCTTTAAAAATCCTATCACAATTGTTGAATCTACAAAGGTCTTTTCTCTAAAAGAGCTTCATTGTCATGTTCAGCGGAGAAACTGGCCCCCATGATGAGCACACAATTAGGTGTTCTGAGTATTTTTCCAAGAGACAAGGTAAGTCTCCCAGCTGTGGCATCAGCCCAGGTTTTTATCCTGTTGAGCACACAGCCTAAGGATGGGACGGACACCATGAGCGTCCAGGGAGCGTACTGTGGCCAAAAACAGCCCTGACCAGTAGGGCGCCGTGAGGTACTCTGGCCAAACGCCAGGGGGTCGGACAGATTTAACACACAGGTGTGCCAACTGCTCTGCCCTGCCGCCAGAGCTTCAGACACAACCAGCGCGCTCCCCAGCCTAGAGCTGCCCCTCCAACGATTGTCCATAACAGAGCCACGAGGCCCGGAGCACCAGGCCAGTCAGTGCCTCCGGAGAAAGACGGGGCTGCTCCCCTAGCTGAAGGCACGTCACAAGTGCCAAGAGACGCTCCACTTAGCACTCACACCTTCTCCAGAAGAAAACCAATCGGCAGAAAGAGCATAGTGATTATCCAATTTCTGAGACCTACTCGTTCAGCTTCCGGCCTTTCCTCTGAAGAGGTCACAATTTCCGTGGTACACCAGGCCCTTTCCCATGAAGCTGAGAAGCATCTGAAAAAAAATGAGCAAAAACAGAACACAAGTCTTGCAGGATCTCTGGTTCCCTTAAGGCAGCAGTAACCAAACGTCAAGGGGATCACTTCTTAAATAGCAAAAGCCCCCGAACGCTGACTGTTCTAAGGCTTAAACAAGCCAAGAAACCCTTGACAGGTTGAGGGAGTTGCTGCTTGCCACAGTCTGCAGCAGGCATGGGACTCTGAGCTGCGTGAAGGCAGCTGCTCGCTGAGTGCTGTGTTCACAGAACAGCAACTCTGCTATGCAACAGGGGCCACGTCGATTCTGGGCTACGACTACCATCTGGGGGCAGGCTGGGATTCTACGGCAAGGTCTGATGACCACATGGAACTCAAGTAGCAGTGAGCTTTCTCTCACCATCAAGAGACCCTCAGGTCCTACAGAGACAAGCTCCAAGGTACCAGCATTCTGAGTCCACAGAGGAAAGAAAGCAAAGCAGACACAAGTCACACAGCTGAAGCGAGCAAACAACTTTTCATTTACAACCACTCTGTGTGATCCTACAACCTGAAAAATGTCGAGAGAGAGGAAAGCCTACTCACATAGCCTGTTTTAGCATAGGTGCGTTTCTGATAGACTTCTAATACTCAGAGGAAAAACTGCAAAGAAACAGAACAAGAAAGCACTTTCCCCTTTTCTGCTGAAAATGCCACAGGCCAGCAGTTGCATTCTAATGCCCCTCTGATTACAGTCACGTGTCGCTTAACGACAGGGACACCTTCTGAGAGACGGCGTTAGGCGATTTCACTGTTGTGTGAACACCAGAGTGTACTTGCACAAACCCAGATGTGCACAACTTCTACACAACTAGGCTCTATGGTACTGATCTCATGGGACCAACGTCATATACGTGGTCCGTCGTTGACCAGAACATCTTCATGCGGTGCGCATGACTGCTTTGTTTCTCTGAAAGAAGAGGTGGCAGTGAAATGAAAGCAAGCAGAGGCAGTGCAATCTCTTTCAAAACCACAAGCTCTCACCTAGGTGGCTCTGTGACCCCTTACATTATACTGTTAGCTGCAGCGGCAGCCACCAGCTTGTGGAGTGAGTCCTCTGCACTGTACTGCTTCTCTAGAGGAAAACAGAATAACTGCTGATACAGGCTTAGCCCCTCAACTTCCTTCTCTCAAGAAGCAACATTTCCATCTTGGAGATATACAATCCATTCTTGCACCCAGATGGCCTCTGGCATTCACTATGAATGCGTCAGCCTCAGGACACGGGGGCCAGGGACCCACAGCAAATCTGGAGCAGACCCAGACTCGGGTGGTGTCGGACCAATGCTCTCGGTGTGGCAGGTCAGGACACACCAGCTGGGTGGCTCCCGGTCTGCCACCTGGTACCAGTCCACCAGGGCTGCCCCAGGCTCAGCTTCCTGAAGAATGGCTCTCCCCACGTCGTTTCTGGAGCAGGCCTAGAGTAGTCGGAAGAGCAGTAGGCCAAAACCAACATCCCATGGGGCTTCACACCACATTCCATTAGGTGTACGTAAGACAAATTCCCAGGACAGGGCAAGGCAAACTGCTCACTGCGAGGGTGCAGGCTGGGGCATCTGTGCCCTCTTCTCAAAGTTATAAACCCAGGGCTTGTCGAGGGTCCCTTCTGAAAGCCACTGCTCTACAGAGAGAAAAAGCAAGGGAAGGGAGCACTGCCCGAGCTCCTGCTGTGCCCCCAAATCTCTGCTCTTATGTCTGAACTGAAAGCTGCTCCTCTCCTGGATACACGCAGACACCAGAGGTAAGGGTCCCTCCTGAAGCCTGGCCCGTGACCTTCCATTGCCACTTGGACTTTACCTGTCACTTAAGTTTACAGAGCCGTCTGTTAGCTGGTACCACCTGGAAGGTGTAGCAGCCTGAATTTAAAGGCCTGTAGTGCCCCAAACAGCCCTTGGAAAGCTAGCAGGATTACCCTTATGTATTTTCTTAATACAAGAAGAAAAGCTGAGCTAAGGGTGGGGAACTGCTCTGCCTCGCACACAGGCCACCAAGACTTCCTCTGTGATCACACAGGGTAAGGCTGGCCCAGTGGCAGTTCCAAGTGGGGGACCAGGGGAAATCTCAAAGCAGTAGAAGCCTGTGCCTTTCTGAGTACCCCCAGAGCCAGAGCCAGAGCCTCAAAGGACAAACCAAGACAACACAGTGACGACAAGGGGAAGACACTGAAATCCTTGGCAGCAGACAAGGCATCCAGTGGGTGAGAGGGGAATGGTGCACAGTGCGTGTGGCACTCTGACCGCCCGGCAATTACCTGACAGACTCTGCGGGATGTGGGCGGACACGGCAGCGTGTGGGAGAGGCGCTGCATGGGGCGGGCTGGAGTGCAAGCCAGCCAGGAGACCTGAGAGAAAACAAAGGTGGGGAGAAAAGAACAAAACACACACATTGAAGACAGGAACAGAAAAGTAGCTTCAGCGGTCAAGAGCCCCAGATAACCTACTGGACTGGTTCTGGGTGAACACCCCAAAGGAGGGGGCTCAGCATGGTCCCCGGGAATGCTGCCCAAGATCACACACGAGACAAACACAGGAACCCGGTACACAACAACAGGACTCGTGGGTCACAGCAGAGGCACTGGGGAACATTCTGTACCTCCAGCCTGAGGAGAGGAAGGAGAGAAGCACTTACTGGGGCTGAGGCCATGGTGGAATGTCCCAGGGGCAGGACCTGTGACGATGGCATCCTTGGAGACCCCTGCTTTGACAGGGGAGTCGGTGCTAAAGGAGAGCACACGGAGAGGAAATGGGGGGAGAAGTCCCAGGGAGTTTGAGTTCACGGCCCCGGGCAGCTTTGGGCTGCCTGACTTGTAGGATGAAGACAGCAGATTTAAGGGCGAGGAGCTGGTCAGCAGCACAGCCCCACTCGTTCCTTTCTGGGGAGGAAGCACACAAAGGGGTCAGAACTCCAGCCCCAGCCACAGCTCTCACAAACCAAACCTGGTAACGCACCGGGGCGGGACACACGCGTGTCCGTCAACTGCCCCTGTGAAGGCACCGCACCCCCTACTCTGCAGCCTCAAAGGAAGGCAGAGGACAGTCGGTGCGCTAGCATGGAATGGCTCCCAGGACACACTGTTCATTTTGAAAAGCAAGGTATTAAATATGCCTCCTTCGTGCAAGAAAGAAAATGAAGAATATTGTATATAGGTATCCATGATTTAGGTATATATGAGTATGTGCGTATTTATTTTAGAAAGAGGGAAAAAACCCGGAAACTAAGGCACCAGGTACCTTGCAGGGGTGGTAGGAGCACAGAGACAGGTGAGACCTCGCTGCACTTACCTTTCTATAGGTTTGTCTTTGTAACCACATAGTTTTATATATTGGAAAAACGAGAGAAGAAAAAAAAAGCTCTCTCCCATTTCCCCAATCTGCCTCCAAATTCCTTAATTACCTGCAGGCAAGCCTCATTAACCACCAGACTCGGTCAAATCGCCTTTGTCTGACCTGCAGAGTCCTTCAAAACCCAATCAAGAGAATCACTCTTAGAAGGCACTGATCTTCCTGGGGCATGAACATCTCCACATAACTAGTGACCTGATAAGTAGCAGTATTTTCATCTTGTTTGGAGAGATGGATGGGTAGGAGGCTAGGGAAGGGAAGTTTTGTGGCTCATTCTATGCCACTCAGATTCAGAGCCTCCCTGCAAACACTGTGCTGACTGGTCCATGCCCTCTGCTTGTCCTCCTAAGGAGAAGTTTCAGGCTCTCCTGGGATTCCTGCCACCAGAAAAGTAAAGACCTGAACACAGGAAGCCAGGGCCTCCTTCCAGTTTCCGGGCTCACTGTTCCTACCTGACCCTCACGTCAGATCTCACCCTCCAACCCAGGCAGGGCAAGTGGTCCTGTCCACAAGACCCACGAGGGGCGGCTGCCGTGCTGGGATACTCACTGGCAAGGAGGTAGACGATGTCACGCTGCTAACCACGCTGGGCTTCAGGGAGGAGGTCAGTAACTTTGCCACTCCCTGGGTCCCACCACTAGAATCTCCATTTGGACCACCCGGAGGGGCCACCAAGGTCAGCTTCTGGGAGACAGGTGGTTTTTTCACTGTGGAGCCTGGGAGAGGTCGGCTGGCAGACTGTCCTGCAGAGGGAGGCTGTACACCAGGGACCAAGCTGCCGGAAGCAGAGCTCTGGACTGGTGTTCCCCCAGAGGAAGAGCTGCCAGAAGAGATCCCATGTTTGGAGACAGAGCCAGCAAAGTGACTATTCTTGTAAGAAGGCCCTGAAGCGCCGGCTGAGTGCTGTTTTGCTGGATGGCTCAGGGCAGTGGAGGACGAGGCTGGGGTCTTATGAGAGCTGCTGCTGGAGGCTGGCGTGCCTCCTGAAGAGGCTGGCGTGGAGGGATGGAAGCTCTGGCCTTTGGCTGCTGTCTTCACTAGCTGGAGGAGGGAACGGTGACACTGTGGGGAGGAAGGCTTTGGGCCCTGGAGTTTATTGACAAACGGAGCTGGGGGGGTGAAGCTCTTTTGCTGCTGAGCGCCTGCATGAAAGACTTTGACTTGAGGGCTGGGCACGGGAGCTACCGCCTGGGGCGCGTGAGACGTCCGTGGCAAACCGTGGTGTTTTGCTTTGGACTGGTGCACTTCTGGCAGGCCCTTGCTGAGGGCAGCCTGACAGGACAGCTCTTTGTAGCCAGAACTCTCTGGTTTTTTCTCCTGAGAGGACTGCCCTAGTGCCAAAGCCTGTTCAGCCAGAAAATTGAGGGGTGACTGCAGAGAGGTGGAGGGTGGTGGGGCAGAAGGGCTGGGCTTCGGAAAGTTCCTTTTTTCTTCTGTACATAAAACCCCTGCAACCTTCTCTGCAGGTGCCTTTGAGGGTGCAGGCAGTGTGAACTCAGAGCTCCCACTTGCTCTGCTGTTCAGTGCGGTCAGTTCCTTGGACACAGCCTCCAGAGAGGAGGCTGAATTACGGACCAAGTCTCCATTCAGCGAGTCCTCCAGGTTGATAGGAGCAGGATTAGCAAGGCTGCCAGAGGCCTGGGATGAGAGCTCCCTGGTCGCAGCCCCAAGGCTCAGGCCTCCTCCCGGATGTTCTGAAGGCAAAGCAAGAGGGCCGCCAATCTGGCCTGATGGGACGGAAACCTTTTTATCAGGCTTCGTAGATGATTCCTAAAGGAAAGCAGAAATGCTGTTTAGAAATGTCCGAAGATGTCAATACTGGCCCTGTTGTGAGGACACAAGCATGAGAATATCGTGAGGTCCAAAGAACTGGGCCTTCCTGTGTAATCACAAAACAAGGGAGGAAGAGAGGAGGTGCCATCCCTGTGTGGACTTGAAAATGCCACAACTTCATCCCCCTCTGGAACACGTCTGGCCAGGGCCTGACCCAAGCATGCTCTGTTGATAAGTACACACCCCCACGGGGAACTCTTCTTCTCTGTTTCCGAAAAAGTACCGGACTTGAGCAAAGAGATGCTCTCCCTACTGGCACTCACACTATCTCAGAGCGCGCCTAGCTGCCATCAGGAAAGGATGTGTGGCATGAGAACTGCCTTAAATTAGTTGTCTTTTCCTCCTTGGTTTTTATCAGCACATGTCTCCTCAGTGGGGTTCAAAAGAAAAGTCCTTTCACGGGAACAGGAATGGGGTGTGCCTGACATTCATTGTAGGAGCCCATCAGGTACTCAGGAATACACGAGTCCTATTCTCACGGACGGTTTAGGTATGGTTAAGGGCACTACAAAGCCTCAGGAACCGGCAAAAATTTTGGTAAAACACCAATTTTTACTACATTGAGAGGTTCCTACAATATCTTAGATCATTTCCACAGTCTCTATTCTCCAACCACTGTATATCCCTCCATTTCTGTCAGGTAAACTCAACAAAGCCACCTGTCCTTTCCATTGTGGCTCCAGGCTCCAAGTACAGCCAACCTGTACTTGGCTAGAATGTGTTCTTCCATAAAAGGATTATGCTGATAATGAGTATGATACTTTTACGTCTGGCAGGGGCTCTTCACCCCTCAGATGGCTGTCAGGAAATCCTCATTTAATCCCACAACAACCCCAGGAACTGGTCAGGTGGGTACTTGTTGCCTAGAACCGAGGCTGGAGGGTACTAAGTTACCCAGCTCAGGTCTCTGCCCTGCCAACCCCAGACCCCTCTGGTGGGCCAGGCTGCCTCTTGGTGTAGCCTCAAGAGTGCCATCCTGAAGAGCTGTACCCCAGACCAGCAAAGCTCAATGAGCTGCCCTGGTCACTCGAGAGGGTTCGTGAGCATGGCTGGAGAGAGATGAGACGACGTGGCCCATGACCTGAGCAGGCTCACTCACCTTCACCTTGATTTTGGAAGGGGCCATTACTTTCTTCTTGGCCCTGTTCAAAGGAATGAACACAGAAAAGGTTTAGAGGAGTTCCAAGAAGGAGACAAAAACGACAGTAGTCCTGAGAAGTGAAAACACTGAGACACTCACAGGATTGATGTCAGGTGCCCGTGGCCTCGTCTGCTCTCCTTAAACAGAGTCCTGAAACAGACAGAACACTGAGCAGTTTGCATAAGCCCCCTGAGAGCAGAGACTTTGCTCCTAGAGCTCTCCTCCCATCCCTGGTACACAGTTGCTACTGCTCATTAACTGTCAGTGGACTGGTGAGCTTCACTGCTGGTGAGAGGATCTGAAGTGGTCGCCCTGGCCACTCGGAAGCCAAGAGTCTAGGATTTACTAAAAAAAGCTATGGCTCTGCCTCTACCCTTCTCACAGTGATTTTCCCTCTAAAGGCAGAGTGCTTTCCTTATTGCCTATTCGCATCCCTTCCAAGAGTAAAACGTGGAGTGACCCACAGCAGGTCTTTTTCCAGCACAACCCAACAAAATTTTCTTTATGCTCTTCCCCAAGTACCTTCATAAGTCCAATCTATAAGAGTAGAGCAATTCCATTTAAAGAAGGGACAGTGAGGGCCGGCTCCGTGGCTTAGCGGTTAAGTGCGCGCGCTCTGATGCTGGCGGCCCGGGTTCGGATCCCGGGCGCGCCCCAAGGCACCACTTCTCCGTCCAACGCGAGGCCGAGTCCCACGTACAGCAACTAGAAGGATGTGAACCTATGACATACAACTGTCTACTGGGGCTTTGGGGGGAAAAAAATGAATAAATAAAATCTTTAAAGAAGGGACAGTGAGACACGAAAAGGCTCCATGATTTGTCCAAACCACAGAAGAAACAAGCCCAATCAAGAACACTAGCTCTGGGAGAGGAAGCTGGGAGGATGGCAGAGTAGGAAGCACCAGGAATCGTCTCCCCACCTGGACACCTGCACTGGCACAATCTGTCTGATGGAACTATTCTGGAACTCTAGAATTTGTTCAAGCCTTGCAACTTCCAAGGGACAACTGGGCAGGTAAAATGTGGTTGATTTCAGTCAATTTCAGCTCTTAGCATAGCAGCAGCTACCCAGCCTACACTCCCCAGACATGGCAGGCAGCTGTGCACATGTTCCTGGAGCAGCTTGCACACAGCTTGTGGGAACTAGGGGGGGCAAAAAGGACCCTGTCCTCCAAATATCAGGGATCTGTGCTCTGTTTGCTGCTTCTGATCACAGTGGTGTAGACAGAGAGGACAGCACAGTGTTGTTGCACCTCCCCTCGTTGTTGTAAGCCCCTCCCCCTCCAGCTAGAGAGACTTCCAAGAGATTTAATGGGCTGGCTTCCCTTTCTAACCACCTTCATTTTTCAATTTTCCCATTTCAGGAGCCAGACATTAAAGACTAGGACATTCAACAACAACTGCATACACAGGGAAAATTAGAAAGTGACTGCGCATGCCCAAGGAAAGGCTCAGAAAAGACCTAAGACGACAATAAGTTTACAGCTCAGGTTGATCCTCAGCACAGAGACAGTCTATAACAATAAAAAAAAACAAAAACAGGCCAGCCCAGTGGTGTAGTGGTTAAGTTCGCGAGCTCTGCTTTGGTGGCCTGGGGTTCACAGGTTCGGATCCTGGGCGTGGACCTACACACCACTCATCAAGCCACGCTGTGGCGGCATCCCACATACAAAATAGAGGAAGACTGGCACAGATGTTAGCTCAGGGACAGTCTTCCTCAGAAAAAAATAAAAAATAAAAAAAATAATAAAGAAACTTGCCCCTCCTTAAAAAAAAAAAAACCCAATAACAAAAAAAAGTAAACCCTGGGGAAGGAGGAGAATCTGATTTCCAGAGTTACCACATTATTGGATCCAAATGTCCAGTGTTCAACAAAAAAATCATAAGGCATACAAAGAAACAGGAAAATATGGCCCATTCAAGGTAAAAAAGAAATCAACAGAAACTGTTCCTGAAAAACTGATGACAGATCTACTAGCCAAAGACATCAGTCTTTAAAGACAACTATCTTAAAGATGTTCAATGAACTAATGGAAGATGTGGAGAAGGTCAAGAAAAGGATGTGTGAACAAAATGGAAAAAAGAGATCAAGAGACAGAAAACCTAAAAAGAAACCAAAAAGAAATTCTGGAGCTGAAAAGTACAATAACTGAACTGAAAAATTCACTAGGGGGATTCAAAGGCAGATTTTGGCAGGCAAAAAAAAGAAATGAGTGAGGGGACCTACACACTGTTTATCAAGCCATGCTGTGGCAGGCGTCCCACATATAAAGTAGAGGGAGATGGGCACAGATGTTAGCCCAGGGCCAATCTTCATCAGCAAAAAGAGGATTAGCAACAGATGTTAGCTCAGGGCTAATCTTCCTCACCGAAAAAAAAAAAAAGAATCAGTGAATTTGAATATAGAACCATGGAAATTATCAAGTCTGAGGAACAGAAAGAAAAAAGACTGAAGGGGCCGACCCGGTGGCACAAGCGGTTAAGTGCGCGCGCTCCACTGAGGCGGCCCGGGGTTCGCTGGTTCGGATCCCGGGAGCGCACCGACGCACTGCTTGGCAAGCCATGCTGTGGCGGCGTCCCATATAAAGTGGGGGAAGATGGGCACAGATGTTAGCCCAGGGCCGTCTTCC